AGAAAAGGTCTCCATGGCCATGAAGGACAGAGGCCATAACAGGGAGGCACAGCAGTACCACGTGAAAATTAAGGAGCTAAGGCAAGCCTACCACAAAGCCTGAGAGGCAAACAGAAGGTCCGGGGCAGAGCCGCAAACATGCCGCTTCTACGCGGAGCTGCATGCCATGCTAGGGGGTGCAGCCACCACTACCCCAACCGTGTGCTATGACTCTGTCACTGGAGAAACACACAGGGAAGAGGGTTCGGGGTACGAGGAAGAGGAGGATGAAGATAATGTAGATAGCTCACAGCAGCAAGGAGGCGGAGAAACCAGTTTCCCCAACAGCCAGGATATGTTTATCACCCTGTACCTGGAGCCAGTAACCCCCAAACTCACCCAAGGCGTGCTCCCAGACCCTGAGGGCACACAGGGGACCTCTGGTGAGTGTACCTTTGTAAATATTACACATGGTTTAAAAGCAAGTGTGTTTAATGATTAATGATTAATTTGCCCTGGCAATTGCGGCCAGTACAGCTACTGGAAAAGTCTGTTAACGTGTATGGGGATGGAGCGGAAATCCTCCAGGGACATCTCCAGAAAGCTCTCCTTCATGTACTCCCAAAGCCTTTGCGAAAGGTTTCTGAGGAGGGATGCCTTATCCCGTCTGCCATGGTAGGACACTTTACCATGGTAGGACACTTTACCACGCCAGGCCAGTAGCATGTAGTCTGGAATCATTGCATAACAAAGCATGGCAGCGTATGGTCCTGGTGTTTGCTGGCATGCAGACAACATCCATTCCTTATCGCTCTTTGTTATCCTCAGGAGAGTGATATCATTCACGGTCACCTGGTTGAAATGGGGTGATTTTATTAAGGGGACATTCAGAGGTGCCCGTTCCTGCTTGGCTGAACAGAAACGTTCCCCGCTGTTAGCCACGCGGTGGGGGGGAGGGGTGAAGTGATCATCCCCAATAATTGGGTGTGGGAGACGGGGGGGTTACTTGGGTTTGTGCTGCATGTTAACCCGGGAACCGCAGACCCTCCTTTTACATTGCAAACCCATTTTAAATGGCCAACTCAACAGGTGCTTGGTATGGGAAATGAGGGCGCTACTGTTTGAAACCATTCCCACATGTTAAGAAGGTTTAAAAAAGCCAAAAGACTGTGGCTTACCATGGCTGCCTGCAAGTCGAAATCTGTTGCCTGGCACTGTGTGAGTGATCTCTCACACCAAACCGGCAGGCCCTCAGTATAAGAGGAAAAATGCGACCTTGTAACGAAAGCACATGTGCTGTGTAATGTGAACAGCAAAATGTAACGTGAAAGAGTGTACCCATTGTTCTCTAAAATGTGTCTTTTTTAACCACCTCTCCCTTCTCCTCCACCAGCTGCAAATGTTTCTCCTTCACAGAGGCTAGTGAAGATTAGAAGGAGAAAATGGCAGACTCGGGATGACATGTTCACGGAGCTCCAGATGTCCTCCCACGCTGAAAGAGCACAGCAGAATGCGTGGAGGCAGTCAATGTCAGACTACAGAAAAGCACGATATGAACGAGAGGAGAGGTGGCGGGCTGAATCGCGGGATGAACAGAGCAAGTGGCGGGCTCAAGATGATAGGTGGCGTCAGCTTGCAGACAGAAGGCAAGAGTCGATGCTCCGTCTGCTGGAGCATCAAACTGATATGCTCCAGCATATGGTTGAGCTGCAGGAAAGGCAGCAGGAGCAAAGACCGCCGCTACAGCCCCTGTGTAACCAACAGCCCTCCTCCCCAAGTTCCATAGCCTCCTCACCCAGACGCCCAAGAACACGGTGGGGGGGCCTCCGGCCACCCAGTCACTCCACCCCAGATGATTGCCCGAGCATCAGAAGGCTGGCCTTCAATAAGAGTTAAAGTTTTAAACTGCAGTGTGTCCTTTTCCTTCCCTCCTCCCCCACCCATCCCGGGCTACGTTGGCAATTATCCCCCTAGTTGTGTGATGAATTAATAAAGAATGCATGAATGTGAAGTAACAATGACTTTATTGCCTCTGCAAGCAGTGCTCGAAGGCGGAGGGGAGGGTGGGGTGGTTGGTTTACAGGGAAGTAGAGTGAACCGGGTGGGGGGGTGGGACAGAGGGTTCATCAAGGAGAAACAAACAGAAGTTTCACACCGTAGTCTGGCCAGTCACAAAACTCGTTTTCAAAGCTTCTCTGATGCGCACCGCGCCCTGCTGTGCTCTTCTAACCGCCCTGGTGTCTGGCTGCGCGTAATCAGCGGCCAGGTGATGTGCCTCAACCTCCCACCCCTCCATAAATGTCTCCCCCTTACTCTCACAGATATTGTGGAGCGCACAGCAAGCAGCAATAACAATGGGGATATTCTTTTCGCTGAGGTCTGAGCGAGTCAGTAAGCTGCGCCAGCGCGCTTTTAAACGTCCAAATGCACATTCCACCACCATTTGGCACTTGCTCAGCCTGTAGTTGAACAGGTCCTGACTACTGTCCAGGCTGCCTGTGTATGGTTTCATGAGCCATGGCATTAAGGGGTAGGCTGGGTCCCCAGGTGCCCATTATTGACAGCCACTGCAGTACGACGACGACGGATACCAGTCGTAATATACCATCTTCTACCAAAAGGCAAGGTGCTGCTGCTATGTGCAATGCAGCCCCACATCTGCCAGCACCCAGATCGCCGATGAAGGCTACCAGTCATACTGCACCATCTACTGCCAAAAGGCAATTAGCTGCTGCTGTGTAGCAATGCAGTACCACATCTGCCGGCACCCAGAGGACATATGGTGATGCTGAGCTGAGCGGGCTCCATGCTTGGCGTGGTATGTTGTTTGCACAGGTAACCCAGGTAAAAAGGCGTGAATCGATTGTCTGCCGATGCTCTGACGGAGCGGGAGGTGCCTGATGACATGTACCCAGAACCTCCTGCGACACTGTTTTGCATCATTCAGGCATTGGGATCTCAACCCAGAATTCCAATGGGTGGTGGAGACTGCGGGAACTGTGGGATAGCTACCCATAGTGCAACGCTCCGGAAGTCGACGCTAGCCTCGGTACTGTGGACGCGGTCCGCCGACTTCATGCACTTAGAGCATTTTATGTGGGGACACACACAATCGGCTGTATACAACCGATTTCTATAAAACCGGCTTCTATAAATTCGACCTAATTTCGTAGTGTAGACATACCCTTAGTTAGCTCGAGTACAACTATACGAGGGCTCAGAGGGAGAAAATTGCAATGACTGTGAAAATGAACCTAAAATAACTTTTCTCTACGTACCATAATTTCAAATTTGATATTATAGGATCTTCCAGGTGCAGGGGTCAGATTTTCAGAATTAACCAGCACCCTCAATTGGGTCTAGATTTTCAAAAGAGATCAGCATGGTAGGTGTATAGCTCTTCTAAAAATCTGGCCAGGAGTGTCACATTGGGAGCTGCTGAGTGTTTCTGAAAATCTGTCTCTTATAGGCGTCTCTAAGTGGGAGCTGAGCTCTTTTCTTACCTGGCCACAATTGTGGGTGCTCGCCATGGAAAATCTGGCCCACGATATATATATTGGTTCCATTGGAAAGATAGGGTTGTCTGTTTCCTAAAGCTCCTATTTCCCAGCCCTGTTGATTTCTGAGATACCTGATCTTACCTCTGCACTCATGACAGCTTTAAACTCTGACTGTCCCCAAGGACTAGAAATGGATGAGTTCTGATCCTGAGTTAATGCTTAGTTGTGTAGCACTCCTGTATGACAGCTTGCAAGCTAGCCTGAAAAACAATTTGTAGTTATGACTTGTAGCCTCCAGGTGGTGCTTAGCAGATGTGCCTGTGAAGAGAGAGAAATGCAGTGACAAGGAAATGTTGGTGATTAAAAATTAAAGAAGCACTGGCCCCTTGTGGCAGCAGAAGAAAACACGCAAACAGTTTTGGAAACCATAATGTGAGTTGTCAGTCCTGACTCTATATACTTGGCCATATTGAGCTACAGCTGTGATATTCAGGAAGTTTGTTACAGGGCTTGCAAAATTAAACCTGAATTATTTATTGCAATAGGTGGCATATGAAAAATGTGCAAGAGGAGTTCTATCTATCCAAATAGGGCTAAAAAGACAGGTTAAACTGTTATATTGAGCACAAATGGACGCTGTACACTATTAAAACATGCTTTATTTTAAAAAGTGCAGGCTAGTTCACTGAGCCATTTAAAAGGAGAAATAGTGATAGGGTTAACATGTTATTAATATCTTTAACAAATGGTACCCATTTATAATAAAAATACATTTACATTACAAGGGACCCTAATCCATGTTTTAGTTTTACCCTGGTAAACTTCTACAGATAGAGCTCTCATTAGGATAACTCTAACGATAACATTCCTAACACTTACTAAGGTGGAAACTAGAAACCTTGTTAACCTCTTCTCAAAGGCTACATCTACACTACAGGGGGGGGTCGATTTAAGATACGCAAATTCAGCTACGTGAATAGCGTAGCTGAATTCGACGTATCGCAGCCGACTTACCCCACTGTGAGGACGGTGGCAAAATCGACCTCTGCGGCTTCCTGTCGACGGCGCTTACTCCCACCTCCGCTGGTGGAGTAAGAGCGTCGATTCAGGGATCAATTGTCGCGTCCCATCGGGACGCGATAAATCGATCCCCGAGAGGTCGATTTCTACCTGCCGATTCAAGCGGGTAGTGTAGACCCAGCCAAAGTTAATTGGCTCTGGGTTGCTTGCCCTCCAGGGATGCTATCCAGACTGACACTGCCATAGTCTTCTGGGGATGCAGCATAAAAGCTGCTCTGTTATATTCCAGCAACATATGCTCCTAGTAGCATTCTGAGGCCAACTGAGATTTGCCCCTTTCCTTTCTGCTGAAGGAACCCATGTGAGCTCTGGAAAGAGGCGGAGGTGATGCTGAATGAGTGCAGGAAATAGCAGGATACAGGGGGTGAAAAGCTCACTTTCATGATCTCTCCTTCCTCAGGCTCTGCTTTCCTGCTCCTTTTAGCCTAGCCCAGTAGGCTATTCTTTTCCCTGGCAGAGGAGTCTTTTGAACCTCTTGCACACTGGTAAGTGTAGTATGGATACATTGTCCTTTGGTTTGGCTGGAGGCATGTATAGTGTGGTGCAAGGTTAGACCTTGGGTTTGGCTACATGGACACTTAGTTTGCAGCAAACTAGGGTGTAAATCTACCACTCACTAGCCAGGTGGACCCTAAAAATTCCATAGTGCACTTTGACCTACTATGCTTTGAAACCGGAGTAGATTAAAGCACACTAGGGAACTTTTAGTGCACAACAGCAGGGTCCATACAGATACGTGTTTGGCAGCAGGCTAGCTCGGGGTAGATGTACATCCCAATTTGCCATGAACTAAGTATTTGGTAGATAATCCCTGAATCTTGTCACATGGTTCCCACCCACAATTGTGGAGGTATTGGAGAAGCACATCCTCCAGAAGATCGGGTCTATCATTAGCAGGACATTCTTTGCAACCATTACTTATTCCATGTCCATTCATCTCCCTGATCACTCCTCATCTGTGAAGACTCTTGTGCACCTAATGGAATGAAATATCCATTCTCCCTTAAACAGCCTATATTTCTAACTGTGCTGGGCAGTAGAATCCAATTTGGGGCTTTTGCTAAACTGCACCATTTTGAGGAATTCATTGATTTGGGTCCTCCATCCAGCTGATGCATTTGGAACACAGAAATGTCATTTTCCTTACTACAGCTCAGAAGAACCCTCCCCCCTGGTGTCTGTCTGGTGCTCCTGAGTTCCTAGCTTACCACATCATTGCAAAGACCATGTTTACTTTATATCAAATGTGCTGGAGTGCTTTCAAGGTTGTAATTCACTTTAGGAGCTGTGCTGGCATCTGAGAGCACCATGGGAGGGGTGTATCACTGATAGGGAGAATCCAAGGTGACTTTGTGCCGTCTTGTTATTTCAGGGACCACTATTTATATTGCTAGGGCTAAACTGCATCTTTAAGTCACTACATGCATTAAAGGTAGCCGCTGTGCTCAGGCGGCAGCAGCAGCTCCCAGGGGAATTTTAGTAGAGGTAGACACAATGCCTCCTGAGTGCTGGGAGAATGTGCCAAATAATGGCATCTTACGCCCTTTAACAGGGTGCGCTGTGTACTTTTCCTGCCCTGAGCCAGTTCTGCTGGCCAGTATCATATACCTGTGGAACCACAGTGCTGCCTTTTATTCCACCCTTCCCAACCCGTAAGTAGTTTTTTAATGCCCACCAGTGGTGTAAGGACCAAGACCGCTTCAGGCTTCTGTGGCACTTCTGCACCTGTGCAGGGCTAAACACAATCTGGCTCCCCTAACATGACCTTCAGAGATATTAAACCTGATTGATTTACCTTGAAATATTTTATTTAAAAAAAAAAAGCATTGACTTAGACCAAGCATTCAGTGTGTGCTTTCTGAGGAACCT